GGCAGCTCAGGCGCTGGCACACCCGATGCTGTGGACGGCCGAAGAGAGGTTGGCATTCTTGTGCCATGCAAGCAACAGGATGGAGAAAGAGAGCTGGGCCAAAGACTCAGAGCTGTTGCACAGTCTTGAGATGACGTTTCCAGTGACGTTAGACGATCGACCTTGGAATGAAAAGCTTGAGGAGGAGTTCGTGCGCAACCTAGTACAGCTCCGAAAGTATGATTTTGACAGTGTCCGTGATCTTTTGCATGTAATCAACCACAGGTTTGAAAACTATCGAGAGCTTCCAAAAGAAGTGAAGGTGAGCAACCACAGATGTGGTAATTCCCCCTAGACCTGCAACTAACATCTATAGGAGTCCAAACACACGCACACGTGCACACACACACAATTCTAATGAACCCAGTCTGGAGGAAACCCATCAAGTGTCGAAGTACAAGACAACTCAGCGCTGAATAATGTCTCCAATAATCGTGAAATGTGATCCGTGATACAATGTCTCATCGCCAGTGGACGAAGGAGAGGAGGGGGAGATTAGACTTAAGGAGTGGAAGAGTAAGTATCATACCTGCGGCGCAAGTGTGCGGTGCGCTCAGTGCGGTGCGGTGGTCATCGTTGCGCAAAAAAAAGAAAAAGAAAAAGAAAAAAAAGCGGCTGTGATGTGTGAGAACATGCGTGCACGCGCGCGCGCGCGAGAGAGGGAGAGAGAGAGAGAGAGCAAACGAATAGCTCCTTAACATTTATAAGAAAACCCCTGCGGGCTATCCGAGAGGCCCTTGCAGATAATTAGCAAGGGCCTGCTCACCATGAACGAGGCAATGCCCCTAGCCATGCTAGGGTCATGGCACGCCAAGTATATATGCTGTTGATTCACATTAAGGTCTGTGTTTCAGCAGTTATGGGACCACTGAGCACGCAAGTTTCTGGGCAGTGGCAGGCCAACTCACCACGTGCTTTTCAGGGCTTCCCTCCACTCCTCACCAAATGTGCAAAACTCAAATGAATCTTCTGCGAGAACATGGAACCGTACGACGCCATATGTTTTGTCTTTTGTGCAAGTGGTGATGAGTGGAGCAAGGCCCTTAGGGCCACTGCTCGTAGGAAAACGAAACAAAAGAAAGAGGAGTGAATCTTCTGCTAGAACATGGAACCATACTCTGCCATATGTTTTGTCTTTTGTGCAAGTAGTGACGAGTGGAGCAAGGCCCTTAGGGGCACTGCTCGTAGGAAAATGAAACAAAAGAGAGAGAGAGAGCTACGGTAGCAAGTAGTGGTAAGTAGTTGTAACTTGTGACCCATAACTGCTGGAAAGCAGACCTGACTTCGGATCCAGAACATATATTGCTGGCCTGCTCCCCTCTCACACAAAATTTGCTGATCGTCTCTTGAGATGTTGGGACCCTTGCAGATGCACTGCTGGTGTTACATACTCGTGATTTTATCAACGAGTATGGGGCAGAACCAAAGATCAACCAATATAGGATGAGTATGTATGCAACGGAAGTCTGAGAAACGGACTGACTCACATAGATATCACTCCACACACATACAATCGTGAGATGGTGGGGTCTGAGCCATACATAGACGATGCTCAGCCCCGTACACACATACACAGATGAAGRTGGGAGGAGAGACGAAGGAGGTGGGAGATGTAGGTAGCACCAGATGTCACCGAGATAGAAACCAGTAGGTCACTGATATGGTAATCCAAAATGTCATCGAACAAGATCAAAATGTCGAGGACAATAAGTCACCAATGTCGGAGATACAGAGTCCTAATGTAACCGGTGTCCAATCTGTGATGCAGCCGAGTATCATCCCCGACAATCTCCAAGTCTCGAACCCGGTAAGTACCACAGCCTCTTACCACCGAAGTCCAACTCTGATCTCTGATCTCTGTCCAACTAGTATAAGTCTCCAGTCTGAAGAAGAAGAAGAAGAAGAAGAAGAAGAAGGGAGTCGAGGAGGAGAGAGAGAGAGAGGGGACTGGCGATGGGAGGGAGGAGAGAACCTCCGGCTMCCGATACCTCAGGCGGCTATGGCCGCCGATCCTGCTCAGTCGCCGCTGCTGCTGCTCTGCTCGCTGCCGCTGCTGCTCCTCATGCTCCTGCGCTAAGTATAGCGCTAGCGCTCTGGCGCTAACCATAACGCACCGCTAAAGTTGCCGGTGGTTCGATCCCCGAAGTGAGGCCGGACTGGTCTTTTGTACCGGTGGGGCAGAGGCCGGCCTCAATGCTGCGAGGCCTGGCCGTGCCCTGAACCGTCAAGATGGACGGTTCAGCCCCAACCGGCGGGCGGCAGCCTCAAGAGCGCCGCCAGGCCCAAACGGTAATGTCGTTTGGGCCTGCCCGTCGGGTCTGGTCCAAAGTGAGGCCTTTACGGCCTGTAGTACCCCCAAGGTCGGGCCTTTAGGCCCTACTGTGTCCCTCTGGCCCTAAGTCGGGTCCGGTAGGACCCGTGTGGCGTCGAAGATGTAACAGCTGGGGTCCGTTGGGGGAAA